TCTGGGAGTGAGCGCGTTCTTTGTTGGGCCGGCCGGACTGGCGGGACACGGACCGGTCTTTGGCAACACCATGTTGCAGCCGCTCATGACTGTGCTGGCCTGATGTCATGTCGTTGTGGATAAGGGGGGGGGGGGGAGGTTGGATTGATTGTCTCTGAGAGAAAGAGAGAGAGAGTGTGTGTGTGCGTATATTTATATATAACTAACTCGCCCCCACAGAACCAACCAGCCAACATCCTCCTAACCCCCGACAAAACCCACTCCCGCATCATCGCCAAACTCGCCGACTTTGGCTGCGCCACCTCCGACGAATGGACGTATCAAACCAAGCCCCTCTCCCTGGCCTCCAACGCCTCGGCCCAAACCCCGGGCTTCGATCCCCCAGAGTTCCCAAGGTTCTTGGGCAAGAGCGACGTCTGGCAGCTGGCGCTGGTGTTTGTCTGCGTGTGCAACATGTTTCAGGAGTGGCCGCGGAGTCGGATAAATCCGAGGGGGAGACGGTGGGATCGGGAGCGACCGGCGGGGTTGTATTATTCGGGGGAGTGGAGTAGGGAGTTGGGGGAGTGTTTGGTCGAGGAGGTGGGGTTGAGGCCGGGTAAGATGGAATTGTAGTGATATGTACATGCCTCTAGGTTGAAACGACGCTGACTATCTTCTCCCCTAAAGGGTCCTTGCAGTCTCTCAAGGCCGTGACGGCGGCTTATGATCGTATTCGACCGTCTTTGCCAGTAGATCGGCAGCCACTCGAGCTCCTCGAGCACGCTGGGCCTGACTATACAAGGACCAGAGAGCCTGTATCTTCCAGTAGTTCCGGACGGCCTGCCATAAATGCCGACCATGGGTATCCCATGGCTGACACGGGGCGCGGCCAACATCCACAACGACCGAGGTTGCATCGACACATCTTCTCTGACCCTGAAGCCAGAAGAGTGGGAAGACTACCGCATAGCAACACGGAATTTTTGAGCAACCAGAGATTGCCACAAGAGCCGTACTCGATTGCGCAATACCCAGGAAATCTACCATATCATCAAGCAGGCTGGGATGACGAGGATGAGTACGCTATGCAGGGACCTGAACCATCGATATACGGAGGGCAGCACCAGCACCAGGGCTTCTATCCACCATTACATCCGCGTAGGCCGCAGTATGTTTGGAGATACTGAATAATTGTCTCGTCATCCACGACTGCGCCAGCCCCAAGATTCCTCTAGCTGGGCAATGGCGGCGGTGGGTGGGAATCCATGAGCTCGCTCACAAGCGAACCATAGATCTCGCAACTGTTCTTGCTCTTCTCTTGCTGTAAAACGATCACCGGCTGGATTTGTTAGCCGTATGAAGATGTGCACCACTTCCCAAGTGAGAATAAGCTTACCTAGCGCAATTGCAAAGCAAGCAACGAATTTACAGGGAAACACGCTAGGATTCGATTGTGCAACACCACACAACGTGCGAACACTATCTTGAGCCTGTCTGTCCACCATTTCCCGTGATTGCTTGCGTGCCGGTCCAATTTGCGGTATGGTAGGATCGTGCACAGCGAGCAACATATGAGCGAGCGTGTTGTACTGTGTGCCCATGACGTGAGACTTTTGATGAAAGCGGATATCTGGGAAGTTCTTCCCACTTCCATCGCGGTCCCTGCGATAAAAGAAAGGGTCAAAACTTGATGGCCTGCAATTTCTCCATGTCGTGTTTTCCTCCATGAGCTGATTGTACCGTGCAACGCTATGCCTTCCCTCGCCAAAGACAAAGTTACTCACGTCCCCGAGATGCGCAATCGTCCGAGTCGCCCAGACCGAGTCAGTGGCCGGCTCAAAGGATCGAGCAGCTGGGAAGATGTGTAATTGGAAAGCGCGCTGGGTCATTAGGGAAATCCACAGCTCTTGACGGAAGGCAGCCCAATAAATGGCTTGTCGGAAGCTAGGTCCGCTGGTGGCAGCATACGACTGTTCAGCTGCGCGAATGATGGCCTGTGTGCCAAATAGATGTCCCTGAGGGTCAGAGCCGATGATGGAGATGTTCATTTCTTCCAATAGACGCAAGATGATGGTGGCTGCAAGCAGTGACTCCTCCTTGATGGCCACACTGTCGTTGAGCGCGGGAATGAGTGTGTCGAAACAGCGTTGATAGTATGCATCGGCTATATAAGGATCAAAGTCGGTCGTCCGGCTCAGCTGGCGTGCTGAGAGTGCTAGTATGGCATTCATCAGGGTGCTGTTCTGCCTCGCTCGCTGGACGACATGAACACCAAAGTGGCATTCGTTGTCCATCATGTCAAACTAGCATTGATGAGCGGAAATGTACTGGCCGGGAACGTGCGCCCATGACTTACAAACAAGGCGACATTTTCAATATAGTGTTGTAGCAACATGGCCTCTTGCTCATGTTCCAGTGGCCAGAGGATGGGGGCCCCTGGAGGCTGCTGATGGACGAATGTGCTAGGTTCCTCTGGGGAATAGGTATCCAGGCTCAGCGAGTGGTTGTGTGAGGCCATGCGATTCCACGATGGCGGAAGGCCTGCGGACTCTGCATTCAGCAAGGATAACACGGTGAATCCTTCGGTCGGGGTGAGCAGGGGAGCCGAGGGGGTTCCACTGTCACGGGCATCGTTGGTGATGGAGCCAGGCGTTGCCGAAGAATAGGAGCCGGTATGAGAGCTGCCAAAAGGGGACTGGCCCTCTTCAGTGTACTGAGAGCGTATCTCGGTGGATTCGTCTAAGAATTGTACTGGGGCAACATGTTAGTAGGACCAGGGCATTGGACTGGCACTACGGTACTTCGAGGCGGTAGCGAGACCCAGGGCTGATTATCGCTGAACGACTCAGAGATGGAGGAGCGTCGGAATCGCCTGCCAGTCTCATATGTGCATTCTTTCTTGGCGTGTTCGCATCGAGCACATTTTGGCAATTTGCCGTCACCTGAAGAGCAGAGGAAGTGATTAGTGACGTGACAATGGGGACAATGGTGTGTGTGTGGACGTGATGTACATCGATAATGACGCGTGCGACAGCGAATGCTGGACCGGTTAGCCTTTATGAGTGTATGGAAAGGTCCAGGTGTTTGAGGGCGCACCATGGCATTGGTACCGGTACGTCGGGTATTGCAAATCGGGGATCGCATTCGCACTAGACGGCCAAATTCTCTCGAGACGTGTATGACAATGGCGGGCTGAGTTACGAGGATGGGATATGTGTGGCAGAAAGCTATGTCGGGGTCCAAGTCGAGAAATGTACGCCGCGTCGAGCAGGCTGACAAGGCCAACCAGATTCTGCGCTTTAGTAAGGCGGGCGTGGGCGAGAAAGCCAGAAGAAGGGCAGACGGTGTACGTGCCCCGCTTCCTTCCCCACACGCTGGCTGCAGTCAGGCCAAGGAGGGAGAAGAGGAGAGGTCGAGGTCTAGTACGCTAGTAGGAGAAGATGAAGAAGAAGAAGAAGAAGAAGAAGAAGAAGAAGATGGATCCAAGGTACTTTGGTGGTAAGAGTGTCGTCTCTTGTCCGCTTGACTCGGGGCGAAGACTGCATGTGGCATGACTGTACATGGTACAACGTGGTCTGCAATGGACATGAATTCACAGTCTGCAATGGACATGAATTCACAGTCTGCAATGGACATGAATTCACAGTCTGCAATGGACATGAATTCACAGTCTGCAATGGACATGAATTCACAGTCTGCAATGGACATGAATTCACAGTCTGCAATGGACAGACATGGCACCTGTGTACCCGTGTATAGGCATCGGTACATGATCGTGCTAGCAAAGGACCGGGTCACTGTTGATCACTTGATGGAGATGGCGAGAGAAGGAGAGCGAGTGAGGGAGAGATTGGCTGCAAGACCATGAAGCTTTGACAGAGTGTGATGGGCGTTCAAGGTAGGTACAGTAGTGTTGAAGGAATGTGCCATTGGCCTGCTTGGTACTCTCCGAAGCCTCGTGTCAACTGCCTTCCACTCGGCCCGAACCGAGACAAGAGCGAGACGGAGGTTTTTTTCTCCTTCTTCTTCTCTTCAACAGTCTTCTTACTAAGAGGGCGGGTGAGGAGTATGCACTGGATGAGAGGTTAGTACATGGGGTGTGCGCCCAATGCAATCCGATGTAGCCAGAAGATGGCGGGCGGGGAGGGAGATTGTGTTTGTGGTCTGCGATGCTTGCGATGGGCTGGGGTAGGTACAGTATAGTTGTAGTGAATAGCCGACGGGGAAAATACGAGGCAAGCAAGGATCAGGAGATGGACCGGAGCCGATGGCAAGCCAAAAGACGAGCATCGAGTCTACTCTACACAGTACTCTACATACTAGATGCAGTATGCAAGTAGTTGCCACTTTGACAGGCGTGAACCCTTGCTTTTGGCTTTAGGCTGCCAGGCTGTTTATAGTAGTTAGATGATGATGGGGGGGGGGGGGGGCCGATGCAAGGCCGGCATGGGCTGCATGGATTGACTGCATGGCTGCATGGCTGGCTGCATGAATTATACCGTGGTGCTGATGTTGTGTGTGTGTGTGTGTGTGTGTGTGTGTGTGTGTGTGTGTGTGTGTGTGCCGTGGTGGCCAGGTGCTTGGCTGTCAGTAGTCGGTTGAATTCGCCAGAGGCTGTGTGGTATTATAGGTTGGGGTACCGGTACCAGTACAATTACAATTCTTTGCGTGATGACCAAGGCCCATTGCACCTCCACCAGTTGGATAAGCAGGACTGGATATTCGCTACAGTCTCAACCTGCTAATCTGAG